AAGCTCAGGGTCTACAAGACAGTTGTCCTCACCAGTCTCCTCTATGGTTGTGAGACCTGGACCCTATACAGAAGACACATCAAACTGCTGGAGCGCTTCCACATGCGGAGCTTGCGCTCAATCCTGGGCATCAAATGGCAGGACATGATCACAAACCTTGAGGTCTTGGACCGTGCAGAAACCACCAGCATTGAGGCTATGATTCTCAAAGCCCAGCTCAGATGGACGGGGCATATCATCCGAATGGACAGTGACAGAATCCCAAAGCAACTCCTCTACGGAGTGCTCAGTAAGGGAAAGAGAAAGCAAGGCAGGCCACTGAAGCGCTTTAAAGACTGCATCAAGGCCAACATCGCCTACACTGGCATCGCAACAAAGCAGCTTGAGGAGTGTGCACAGGATCACACTGGATGGCGTGCATTGACGCGCGAAGCAACAAAAGCCTTCGAAGCACACCGGCGAGCCAATGTCACTGAGGCTCGCGCTAAAAGGAAGGCAGCAGGAGAGACACCCAAACCTCCAGGCCAGTTTCCCTGCTCTCACTGTGGACGTGTTTGACGTTCCCGCCTTGGACTCCTCAGTCATCAACGAACCCACCCACTCACATAGACATCATCATCGAGACCGATGGACCACCAAATTAAAAAAAAATTATAGTCAGGATTCGGGATAAACATTTTTAGTATCACTTTGAGAGATAAAATGCAAGGTGTGACAGGCCTCATATCAGCTGACATCCGCGAAACATCTTTTGAGGAAGTGTTTAGAAATTATGTTTAACTTAAAGTCCATTTCGCAAGAATACCTTACTTCCTCCAATTCAATATTACTCAATTACTGAATGCAAAGGGAAGAGGAAGGTGAAACTAAAGATAGAAGGATAAGAATACAATACATGTATCAAAAGACAATCCAGATGTACACCCCTTTCCATCTTTTTTCACAATTTTTTTCTCTCTTCCAGTAAAAATTTAGCCGAATCTTCTCTTAAGGCTATACTGTAGAAAGGTAAATTGTTTTTGGATCATAATAGTTCTCGGTATGACGAGGCTCTCTTAAATTTTTAAAAATCGAAAATCCACAACAAGCCAACCTGCACGTCGTCCAGAAGTCTTTTGGCTGCAAAACAAATCCAGCTGAATGTTGGTCTGTTTTCGGGCTGTTCATTCCAACGCTCCAACATAATGGCATGCCTACAGAGAAGTGTGAGGTGAGCCTTACAGGACAGTATTCTGAGATCGAGCTCAGTGGGCAAGCAAGTTCTTAGAACTTCCACAGCGGTGTAAGTTCACATTTTTTATGCTTGACTCCTAGCGTCCCTAGCCTAAAAGCAAAGTCGCTCTACATTCATTCCTAGATCTTTCCAATATGAAACACAGTGAAGAATGAAGATACTAAACACACAAATTGCTCCGACTCCAGTTTTGGCAAACATTTCACTTACAATTTCTCTGAGACGTGGTTCGGTTTTGGCTTGCGGTATCCACCCTCCAGCATTGGAATGAGCTCTTGCACACTCATATCAGGATATGGCGACCCGCCTGTTGGAGAAAACATCCGCTATCATCCTCCGTTTTCAGTATCCATTTAATATTACCATCAGTATTCAACTTATAGGAAGATAGAATTCTATAAAACTGTTTAAATCAGTGTTCACAAGGCGCACAGGACTGAACACATGCAATACCGATTGGGCAGCCTCTTTCACCAGCCTAACTTGACGTTTTTACACCCAATTCAGTTCTTTCATTGGCAAAAACTTATAGTTTGTTTTGAAGTCTGGGCATTGTTCATTTGCTATGTTTTATTTTTTATGCTTGTTTTAGTTTTTTTTTCTTTGTTTCATTGTTTTTCATCGTCTTTTTTGTACAGTGTGCAACGTTTTCATTCTAGAAAGAACGGTCCTTACTGATTGAGTTGACATACCAAGCGTAAGCAGTTCCCACATTACAATACCGTAAGACCATCTAGATAAAGGAGATCAAAATACAATTTTTAATCAAATGGCATTTAGTTAAAGGAAGATTAAATCAATCATTGCTGTTTCTAGATACAGAATTTAACAACAGACTTGAAACTAAAATGAAACTTTCGATTTCTTTTGAAAGCATAAGCACTGCATGATTACGTCAAGTAGTTGGTTGGAAGAGAAATATTTTGATATTATACTTGTCATGTCCAATCGATATGATATAGTGAAATATGGGCACCTGCCTAAGGAAGGATAATTTTTATTTGTCGCAAGCGTGTCTGTCTCGATTATTTGCCGGCAATGTATTAAATGTCCTTTAGTTTTTCTTCGCAGGAGAATCTGACTGTTGGGGTAAAGAAAATTTACTCGGTGGGGTAAAGAAAATTTACTCGGTGGACTCATAACATATATTTATATACTGCTTGAAAAAGCGCATGATGTTAAAAATCAGCTCTTGTTAATGGTGGCGACTGAGAATTTACCACACACGGTGTACCACCATTTTGAGCTTCAATTTATTCGCTCACAATAAAATGGTTTGAAAAAATTCATAGAATAAATAACTCAAATTTGTGTTGAATGTGGAAAAGGTAATCATAGCTTTTATTTCGAACCGAAGGTCAACAAGGAAAACTTACATGCCTGTACATCTCGCTGGAAGTCTTCGTTTTGGCATTTCTGAGGTTAAACAGGGTTTGCCAAGCCGTCGTCGCGGGTTATTTTTGCCGAACAACTTTTCTTAAATATTTCACTTTTCAGTAGCCTGTGGAGGCTTACACCTTTTGCTTTTGAATTTTAGTGTGTATTTTGACATTCAACCACACGACAGTTCACTTCATTTCAATTATGAGGAGTATTAGAAATTGTTTTCACAAAGGTCAAAGTGGTCAACAAGGACAAAGCGCAGAACAAAGTTTGACTATTGATACGTCACAACTGACGTAATATCCAAGATGGCGTTTTTCTAACCACGAAAGTTGTAAAAATGGCCAACTTTTAAACGCTCTTGTCGCTAATACAAAGAAAGCTGGACGAAATGGCAGTTATTTTCAAACTCCTGAGGAAAAAAGTCTCCTAATTGTCAGTTAACTTTTTCCAGACCGTAATTACCCTTTAAACAGTACATTTCTCACCTTCATTGATGCCAAATAACCCATACCATCAGCAATCATCAATGCAAAAGACAAGAAGTCTTTTTCATTTAGTGCTGAACTTGGTCCCTATTCTCCTGTGTTATATGTGTCCTCAATTCCTCTGCTCTTACGCAGGTATCCTAACAAATCCCCATATGGCAGATACTCCTAAACGATAAACACAGGATCTGAAATTTTGAAAGAATACTGATCGCTTCTAAGTGGACAAGATTAAATAAGAGTCCCCGTAAAAGGGCTAACATTAACTGTTTTCAAACCTATCGGTTTAACTTTGAAAAGCGTCTTCAGGAAAGTTTCGCGAACAATTGTGCATCTCAAGATTGGATCTTTCATTCATTTGTTCTTCATCACTTAAACGGTTGTCATTTATACAACTACGTTTGGTGCTGTGTCATTTGTATAAAACTAGACCTTATGGCTTTTTGCAAGTCTCGCGCCTACTTGGAAAGCCATTTGGTTGGTAACTATTATTATTATTATCATCGTTAGTATTATCAATATTATCATTAGTAGTAATAGTAGTGCTAGTAGTAGTCTTTTTTGTATAAGAGATATTTTACAACCAAATTGCGGGATTCCCAAGTTATTAGGGCAAACTGGTTTGACCACTTTAGTCTAACAATATTGAGTATAGAAAGTTGACTTCATAGAAATTCTCCCAAAGTTTAATGGTCCTAACTTTCTTCCAAATGGTATGATGATCAACCATATCCCGATGGCGAAAGAAGAGAGAAAGAGGCATCGACCTCTGAAAGATTACATGACAGACCAGAGAAAATTCATCGGAATGCAAAGTATAGTGTCGACAAAAACAAATACAAGAAAGAGAAAACAAAGAAGACGTATTTGGAGAGGGAGAAGAGGAGGACGGAAATGATTTCCATGATTGCTATACAAGCTATCATTAACATAACTTATAAAAAAGATCAACAAACCAAAAATATGAACAGCAAAACGAAAATATAATAGGAAGACACCATGAACAAAGCACCATTCTCTATACAATGACCAATGAGACCAACGACGTGCGGATGAGCACTCAGAGATTTCATAACTTCCAACTCCTTCATGATGCTCTCTAGGTCCACCGTTTCGGCGTTCTCTGAAACAGGTTAAAACGAAGACACGCTAAAAAGTTGCCGTTACACTTTAGGTGTATTCGCGTTCGTGAAGTAAGATATTATCAAGTCGTGCCCGTTTCATTGTCAATTGCTGACCCTTAGGACAGGAAATGATAAATGATTTCATTGAAACATAATGACAATTTTTTTTTAATTAACCATAATCAAATATAAATCTTTACTTATTTACTGTGCAACCAATAAGACAACCGTTTGGCTAATCCACCACAATACCGACTTATCAGATTACCTTTGTTGTAAACACTCTAGACGGGAAGGAAGGCGGCGAGAATCTCTATTTTTAAAGATAAAGTAACGAATCTGTTTTTCACTGGAGTTTTTAATGCGTTGCTTAAAAATTTTAAAGGCGTAGATAAAAAAAAGTGTGTCTTGACTAATAGATATCAGCGGAGGCTACTCATAGGAGACAACCGTTAAAGAAAACTTCCGAGTGTAACTGAAACATTCCACAGATTTTCGATCCAGACTTTGCCATGTAATTTTTTTTTACAATTGTTATTTTTTTTTTCATATTTCATGTTGGAGTGTTTTTTTATTTCACTTTAATTCGTTTTGTTGTTTTGTTTACTTCTTTAAGATATGATAAGAGTGCCAGACAAAGTATTTGGTGTCCCACAATACATGGAGGGGATATACGATTTATCACTTTCCGGGTTACATATTCATCATATAAATAACATGATTGTTTAATATTGTATGCAGCAGGAAATGGATATTATTCCTCTTTTGACACAATATTAGAGAAGCTGTATTATTATATTTACACTTCGATCTCTACATATCTTGTTCCCTAAATTAACTCCACTTAAATGAAATACAATGGTTAAAGTGTGGAAAGAATCGTAAAAAGCTACCTTTCAGGGATTTGACAGCCACTTGTAGTTGAGAAGGCTGATAAATTGCCTTGGAAACTTGGCCAAAGTTCCCGGTCCCAAGCAATTTTATGAGCTTTAGTTGTGTGCGATCGAGCTCAAAACCGTCCCAAATTTCATTTGTGGTTTGGTCTTCAACCACAACCAGAGGGCATTCAGGAAGCATTGGTACAGCTAGAAAAAAGACATAGAACAGGATACATTATTTCGCCGCCATTAAAGTTAAACAATCGAAATTATTGAAAGTTTGGGTTAAAAAAGTCGCCCTTAAAATCGAACCAAGTGCCCCCTTCACGCCGAAGCGATAAAGGACATGCTGAGGTAGGGGAACTTAGAACCCTCCCATTTGACTCGCCTCTTCCACGAGAACGTTAATACTAGGTACACCCGTTCTAAAGAAGAGGGAAGTTTTACGTAC